TGTGTGTGTGTGTGGTGTGTGTGTGCTGTGTGTGTGTGCTGTGTGTGTGTGTGTGTGTGTGTGTGTGTGTGTGTGTGTGTGTGCAGAGAAGCAAGGTGGGGAGGTGAGCGCTGCATAGCCGGCTGCTGCGGGACCTGGAGCCCTTGGCCCTTCTCCCGGGGGACCCCGCCGGCCAGCAGGTGGCAGTGCAGAGCTGAGAATGGCGTGTCTGCTGGGTCTCGGAGACCGGAGTTGACTGGCTTCCTTGCGGGCCTTGGGCGTTGGCGCTGGAGAAGGGACCAGGACGCCAGAGGCAGCGGGCTGGGGCGCTGTGCCCATGCCTTTGTGGCTCTAGGAAGGTGGGGTGATGGGCATGACAGCCAGGCCCAGGCGGCGTGGCCGGTGTAGCCGAGCAGCAGGAGGGCCCGCAGGCAGGGCCTGCCTGATGGGGGAGGGTCATTTTGAGGATGAAAGGGGATTTTAGGGCAGAAGCGTTTTGTCACTTTCTCGGGCTACACCTGGGGAGGTGGGCGCTGGGGGACATTGCAGGGACCCGGACTGAGGTGGAAGGCGTTGGAGTCACCCCTGGACCTCAGCTCGCGGGGCGGAGGCAGCTTGGAGGGGGAACCGGCAGAGGCGGTGAGCCTCTAAGCCTCGTTTCTGACCCGTCCGATGGCTGTGAACTCTGCCCATCCCGCTGGGAGGCAGGCTGTGCTCTGGGTCCTACGCAGCCCCCACCGTCCACGCCCCGGAGCTCCACACTGCGACCTCCCTGCCCTCACCTGCCCCAGTGGCCTCCGGAGCAGGGGGCCATGAGCTGCTCCGAGCACATGCTCTGCCAGACACCCGTTCTTCCCCGGGAAGCCCCAGGGTGGGAGCTCAGGCCAGCACTGGGCGCGGCCTGGCTGGACCCCCGAGGGGTGGGGGACACCGCTCCTCCCGCCTTCTTAGGGCCCCCGCCCTCACCCGGAGGAATTATGCGCGGCCCTGCGATCTGATGCGGTGTCAGCGCTTGTGAAACCTCCAGGGCCTCCCTGGCTGGGCTGAGGCTCACGTGG